GTAAGAAATTTTCAGAATTGTGATGCAACAAAACTTTTATTGAAAAGGAAAAAAAAAGCAGAAAAATAGCTAGGAACCTCTAATTTTTAATAGACAGTATTTTTTTTTCAGGAATTCTTGAAAGCAGAAGCCTTGTGAAGTCCTCTACTGTTGTCTTACTGAGTAATAGTAGGATTCGTGAAATCTGATTGATTAATATGGCACAGTAATTTTAATCTTGACTTTTTCTGAAAAAAAAAAAAAATACTGCATGCAGAACCACAGTAGAACTCCTTTTTATTTATAAAAATATCATCATATTTCAAGAGCATTAAATAAATATACTTTGTGAAAATGAACTTATGAAAAGATAAAAAAAGGAACAAAAGATAAACGTAGCCCATTGCCAAAAAAATTTCCCATAATTCAAGGTATAATGTTTGACCCAGGTTGGTTCAAACTGTTTCCAGTGATGAGGTGGTGTTTTTTTTTTCTTATGAGTTTATTTAAGGTTAATGAATCCTATGAAGAATTTGTTTCTCATACTCTGTTTTTGGCCATAATTTTTTATTTTCCTTTCTCTAAATGAAACTTTTGGAAACCATAACTATTCCAGAATTAATTAGTAGAAACTTAACTGTTGATTTTTAAACTTCTGAATGTTTTTGGGTCTATAAAATTCGGTATTCCAAATTCACCAATTTTATTTTATTTTGCCTAGGTCCCTGTGTGGGATCTAGATGATATGCAAGCTCTGACATGAGCAATAGGATGAATGGTTTTGTAGACAGTTAACAATAGCACTTGAAGGATATTGTTCATGTTGTTCATACAAATGTCCGGTTTGAAACTCCATACCTGTAACTCCAACCAATTCACGTTACCCAGAGAAGTTGTGGGTGCCCCATACCTGGAGGTTTCCAAGGCCAAGTTGGATGAGTCTCCAAGAAACCTGAGCTAGTGGAAAGTATCCCAGACCATGATAGATGGGGTAGAACTAAATATTATTTAAAATGCCTTTCAACACAACCCATTTTATGATTCTATGAAAAGTATATTTTACACAGGTTTAATTTGCCTGTTCTTTTATTTTCCTTCTCAACTCACCGATGAAAAAGGTAACAAAACCAAACTGTAAGATATTTTCTGAAAGGCAGTAACCCTCTTTTCTTTTAAATTTTGGCAGGTTTTGAAAGATTCATATGCATTCTGACCTCTTTTTAAATTATTTTTTTAAAGAACTTCATCCTTCTGAGAAAGCTGTATTAAATGTGTGTACAGAAATCCTCAGACATTTTTCTGCAACATCACACTAACAACAGTGTTCCTAAAATTTCATATTTTAGGTCTCTAAAGTTACATATTAGAACAGATAGATGGAAGAAAATATTTTTAAAGATCTGTTGTAGCGACTGTCAAAAAAGGTTATCTGTTAAATAGTTTAACAGCATACTCTCAGTGGAAGTGAGCTCGTTCCTCTAATCTGTGAAAACGAGCCATAAAAACAGGGCCACTCCTCTAGGGTAGCTTTGGACAGTTAGGTTGACAGCACAGACGTTAATTTTCTGGCTGGGGCAGTGGACATTTCTTCTTTCGTTTTAATTTTAGAGAACATTTGTCATAGTGTGATTGCCTGCTACTGGAGAACTTGTGTTTTAGTAGCTGGTGATCTAATTAATACTCCAGTCCTTAATCTTGAACCACAGAGATAGAGAATATTTCTTTATTCTTTAACTCCAGTGGCTTTCAGAGATGGATTGTTCTTGAGATTTTTTGGGAGAAGGGGAAAGGCGAGGGTGGACTTTGTTTTATTTTATTCTTCAGGAGGTTAATGGTGCTGGCATTTGAATAATTTTTGTTTATTTATCAGGAGGTTGTAATTCCATACAATTCACTGCTGATATGATGGATCTTAGCTAATACACTGAACATCTTACTGGTCATCTAGATTGCCCTATGATTATTGGTGAAAGTGATTTCCAGGAGCAGTATGTACCAAAGCTAGATCACCAAAATGTGATGAATTATCCTGTATATCTCTAATGCACATTGAGGGATCTTGGTTGATTAGCTTAGATTAGCTGACTAGCTTTTGGATGGTTTTGTGCAGGTGAACTGAAACCTACCTTAGAGCTGGAGGTACAGAGGGTTGGACATTCTGTTATCCTAGAAAGGGCTGTATATCCAGAAGAACAAGAAGGTTTTTACTGTCAATAGATTTTTAAAGTAGAAGTCACTTCTTAGAGTTACAGCTCTGCAATGTAAAGAGCTATGATTAATGCATGAGCTGAAATGTGTAATATCACTTCCACAGATTAAAGTGCAAAAATGTTAAGTATATGACCTCTCACTTCAACTGGGATTACAAAGAAAAGAAAAAAAGAAAACTTTAAGGGAGTTAGACATTCATATCTCTCTCTAGTCCATTGTGAAGCAGATGCTTACATTTGTAATATTCCTCCAAACTACCTAGCCTTAAAATTAAATGTTTGCTTATTATCATGATTTTTGATAGATATTAACATACACAAACCAATTTTTCTTTTGCTGCCTGTGTCTCAGAGCACTCTGTCACAGTTCAATACAAGCTTCATATTTTCTTAATTAATAGGAGAAGGATTAATGTTTTTAGAGCAGAAAGAAAAGTATTCAGCTCTGAGTTCTGTGCCTCTATATGGTTATCAAGTGTTTACATTTGTTCTTTTGCAATAATGAACTTGCTCCAACATGGCACCCAACTCACTGTATTGTTGCAAAATGCAACATAAAGAAAATTGGTCAATTATTATCTAGTAAAGATTATAAATGATTACCATAAATACATAATTTCTCAGAAAGACCTCCATTTCTAGGACAACAGCTAAAATGTGGTCATAACTTCTATTTTAAAATCTGTGTATTGGCTAGTCCAGGATGTGTGAAATGCTTCTTTGCTATGAAAAAAGTAGAGACAAAAAGCATAACCAGTTCTAACTATGGCCCAGGTTATAACTAATCTCCTAGCACCATCAGAAAGGATGAGCTATAATTATTTCCAGGGTAAAATTGTGACTTTTCTAATGACAAAGAACAGATGAAAAGGCAGTTTATAGCAGATATTTTGACTGCCAATATCACAAAAAATGGAAATGTTGATTCTAGTAGCAGCTGTGTTTAGGAGGAGACAGATGTCTTATGTAAGTAAAAGCATAAGGTCAGTTTTCCTGGATATCTGTATTTGAGATATTAGATGCAGAAAATAGACATGAGTTCTGCAGCTGTAAAGGTTTTTTAAGTTGATAAGTATTGGCTCTGTGAGCGTCATAATGATTATTTGTGTATATACATGAGGCAGGTTTGCTGCACAGGAGAGACATACTAGGTTAAAATTTGTGAGAAGAAAAGAATAAACGATAGAATTAAAGATGCTTCCAAAATTTGATGTGCTGCATTTGAGAGATTATGCATAAGAATGCTGAAATATTTATCTTTACACCTTCTTTTTTTGTTGTTGTTGTTTCTGTTTTCAATGTTTGTTTTTCTAACTTGATACATAATAAATGTAAAGACAAACTTTTATTCTAATTGTATATATTAAAGCCAGGATCTTCTCATCAGGATGTGAACATAACATGTGTTGTAATTTTAATTTTTGAACAAAAAGGTTTAAAAACAAGAAGAAAGTATTGTGTACACTGTCAGATTGCTATACGGAAGATAGTTCTGTATAAGCATATCTGTTTCACAAGTCCCTTGAGAGTGAAAGGTGTCTGCCTATGTTCTGTTGCAAACAACATGACTTAAATGTTGGATGAAACTTCATGCCTCTTTTCCAAGCTCCAATATTCCAATCACACAAGAAGTAGCAAATATTTCTGATTACCTCCTACTGATAAAACCAAAACAAAGGTAAAACAGTGGGGGAGAGGGATGGTAGTCGCAGGGAAAACCAAATATCTACGAAACCAGTTGCTTGTGTAAACACTTGTTGTGTGACATTAAACCTTACCTTGGGCCTTCTGCTCCATTAATTGAGTGCTGCCCGTGTTGCTGATACTGATATGTTGGATGCTGTTGCGAAACTCAGATGTGCTGCGGAGCATAGCAGGGTGATATGAAGTGATGCAGAAAACAGTAGAAGCTCTGTTGCTAGGTCAGCTGCAAGAAGTGACGTGTGTGAATGTACAGTATACGGAGTTTTCTGAATGATGCAGTCTCTCTTTCTCCCAAAGAACTTCAGCTAATGATACAAGGGGAATTCAGTTCACTTTGGCAGGACTCCATGTTGGTCTGGATGCTTTTAATACTTCTGCTTCTACAGTTACTCGGCTCATGCTGCTAAAAATATACTCATGACAGACTTAATGAAAGTATAGTCTTTTAAAAACTACTTGTCAACAATGATCATTTAATGTTCTTGTTTGCATGTGTGACTCTCATTATTCTGACATAGCTATTAATACTGATGAAAACTAAGGAGAGAAAATCCAAATATTTTCATACTTTCATTTTTCCAGTACCATCTAAGAAACACCACAGCTATTCAGCCATAAACTTTCTCGATGTTTTGTTTATTTTTTCAATTCAAGAGTAAGATAGCAGCATATGAAATTTCATTACAGCAGTAAGAGCTTCAGAATCCCAGCAGATGATGTAATTATGATTAAAAATTAGTATTATTGAATAATTCACTTTTGTAATATGCAAAAGTAATTTTTTCTCTCATTTTCAATAACCATCAGTCTTAATATCTAACTAATGAAAAAACATAAACAGTGTCATCTGTCAGGGTACTAACAGAGAATGCCACTTATTGGAGCCTCATTGTTTACTTTAGCAGGTAATTTGTGGACCGGAATCATTTAATTGTTCTGAGCACATAATTACATGCCAGCATTTTCCAATTTAATTAAAATGTACAAATCTGAAGATTAAGGGAATTTTTTGAATTATTAATCATTTCTCCTCTAGGAAATCTTGTTGCTCTGCAGGAGATTTGTCCAGTGTACAACTATACGTATTTTTTTCCTTCTCTTTCACAGACAGACAATTTTCCCGCAGAGCCCAATTACATGGGCAGCAGGCAGCAGTTTGTTCAAAGGTAAGGCCTATTAAATAACTTTCTCGGCTTCCCCATTTGCATTCTTGTCAAAATTGCTTTGCCAGAGAGTACAATTCAACTCAGAACAAGTAAATACAACTCTCTCTCTCTTTTTTCTTTCTTTTTTTTTTTTTTTAAATATGTATTTCAGTAGCTCCACGTTCAAGGATCCAGAAAGAGCCAGCTTGAGGGACAGCGGGCATGGGGACAGTGATCAGGCTGACAGTGACCAAGACACTAACAAAGGCTCCTGCTGTGACATGTCTGTTAGGGAGGCACTCAAGATGAAAACTACTTCAACTAAAAGCCAGCCACTTGAACAAGGTGAGTAAAGCCTCCAATGCTTACAAAACCATAAAGTTTAAACCGTCATTATAAACCTATTAGTATTACAGTTGTGGGTTATCAGCGTGGAATCGCCCACTGATAATGCTATCAGAGAAAACAGTAAATCTTGTCACTAGCCCAGAGCAAAGAACACTTAGTATCTTTCAGAATGAACATGAAATGAAACCACAAGTGTCCAAAGTAGATTAAAAAAAAAATAATAATACTTTTTAAAAATGATTAGAATATACTTTATCTCCACTGGCATTGCCTGTGATATATTATATACAGTCCTTCTGCCAAAGCGTGATTTGGAAATTCAAACTAGACATGACTGCAGCAGATAAAAGAATGCCAGTCATTTACATTCCACATGCAGTTTGGAGAAGAAGAAAAGAAAAGAGGCTGGGGATATCAAACAAGAGTAAAAATTAATCAGAAAATGTTTTCATTTCATGGATGCATTTTCCTATTTGTAATGTTGATTTCACAATTAATAATAGTATGAGAAGTGTCAAATAAAAATATAGTCTGATTTTCAGTATAATTTTATTCACTTTCTGTGAAGGTACCAAAAACAAGTGTCTGTGAAACAGCTAAAATTACTTATATCAGGACAACGACTTACGTCTGGACATTCTGCCAGCACTCATTCTGACAAAAAAGCATGTTTATTTCCTCAAACTGTGTCCAATTCATTTTTTCCAGATGTGTTTTATCTAATTAGAAGGCCTTTTATTTCAAAAGAGACACTTCTTTTTTTTAAAGCATCAGACAGGCTGAGCACTCCAGCATTGCGTGCATTTATGTTTTGCTTCTAGGCTGTAAGCAGTAAAGAGTGCACCATTGAACTATTTTTAAATGTTTTGTATATTTGCCATTATTTTACTTTGTTGTGGGGAAGGTGATTCAGTGTTAGAGATAGTTAAGAGATTATTAAATCAGTCAGCCTTAATAAGAAGTTATATTTATAACTAAGAAGAAATATATGATAAGCTTTTTATTAGTTGTTGATTAATTGGATCTGGGTTTTTTGCCTCTTAGCTGAGTCTGATCTGTAGTACAGTCACCAGAAAATACATGTTCAACTTAATTTTTCTCATTATGTTGAGAATGCGGTATAATTTTTGCTGTGTAGAATGTTTAGAATGCTGCAGTATAATTTATTCTGTATGTATTTGAAGGTTGACCTCATATGTGACCTTATTTTCCAAGTAATAAATGCCGGAAAGATTATTTTTTCCTGACCTTTTGCCACAGCAACTCTTTGCTTATAATTGGACATTGATCTGTATAAAGATGCAGTACGGGATTTTTTCTTTTAAGAAGCTATTTGAGTGTGTGTCTTACTCTCTCAGTTTTGTGTGGAACAAAGACAAAACCTCTGGATTTCTATCTGTCAAGTACAGCCATGAAAGAGCTCTAAAATATTTAAAGTTTCACTAGGAAACTATTCATTACTCAAATTAAAAATGTGTGTTTTTTTAGAAAAGGACTGTATGACCAGTGTTCAAAATACAGCAGTTTGTCCAACAGCAATAAACCCAAATCTGGTAAAAATATATGCAATCTAGTGAACATATTAAGCCAACCAGTCCTGTTGCTTATTTTCATTATAATGCAAAGAGTTTGCCTATAATCCAGGTTTGCCTTCATCATTACATCTAGATGAGGAGCCCTATTCATCAAGAATCAACGTATTCCGGTGACTCATACAAATCCACATGCTCTTAGTAAACATATATTGAACTGTGGATATTAAGTACTGTCAGTCACTGAGCTGTAGCAGTGGATGTTTATGTGAATTTTTTTACTGAGAAAAAAATAAAGAATGGGGATAGAGAGATAAACTATATTTTTTTATTTTTTGGTTTCTCTTTTTTTTTTGTTCTCCCTAAATGCAATTACAAATAGTAACAATATCAATTTGTTTACTCGAATGAACTCTTCTGTTTCAAGTGAGCTATAATAAAATCTTAGACATATTATGAAAACCAAACCTGCATCAAGTACCCTATGGGATTTCAGGTCATTGCAGTAACAAATGTGGAGCTATGTGGTGCTGCATGATTACTTGTCATATTTAGGATGATTAGGGTTCTTAGCCCAATGTAACTTTTCTCTTTTGAAAGAGGATAAACAAAATTGCTTCTCTAGTCATAAGCCAAGTTGAAGGAGGGTAAGAAAAATGATATTTGTGATTAAGATCAAAAAATAATTTTTCTTTAGCAAAAAATTGTTTTCTGGGAAAAGGAGATGGAAAGCTTGCTAGAAAAAATTGTCTTCAGCAACACCTGAAGGAAAATCAGAAGTTATAGTTCTGTCATCATTTGGGGTTGTGTACAGGGTAGGAATTCACTATTTTGTAGCTGAGTTACAGACTTGATTGTTGTTGTTTAAAGATATTTAAAATACTTTAACTTCTGCAACTAGAACAATGATAATTATGAAATCTTCAGACATTTTTGAAAAATTATCTGGATTAACTGTGAATTCAGGATCTTCATTTAACAATCCCAATTCAAAAATTAGTTTAAGTTTGACATACTCTTCATGTAATTCCAAACACTATTATCATGGGTCCAATTTTACCCATGGCAGTAATAAAAATGCTAGTTGTACCAGTATTTTTACTACAGTTTTGAGCAACTCTAGCCTAGATAGCTTGAAAAATAAAAGGTCATATTGAGATAAAAAAATGTGTGGCTAGCACTACAGCAATTGTGATTCTCTCAGTAACAGAGAAGTAGGAATTTTTAAAAAATAATTTTTGTACACAAGACATCTTCTGATTTCAGCATGGAATAGGAAGCAATCAAGCTTAGTTTACAATTTTCATTAAATTTATGAAAACAGTGAATTATAGAACCTTAGATATGATTTCAAGGAAAATATATCCAGATAGCAAGTTTTGTCTTCTAGTGACTTTAAATGTTTACACAAATGAGAAAGATATTGCAAAATAGATCTAATTAATTTTTTAATTAATGAAATTATTATGGAATGGCCTTAATGGAAGGAAAGCAGAAGTAAACACCAAACTATAAAGTAAGTTTTGTGCTAAAATAATCATGTCCCATTTTGGTTATCTCAACCTTATATCCTCTTGCTGTGATTTCCAAGCCACTTTCTGCATAAAAATATCTAGCTGTCTCTTAAGCTTACTTATGCTATCTGAATCAGCTGTCTTACTAAGCAGCTTGTTCCATATGCCTGCTACTCTTTTGATAGAATGGTTTTAGATAGATTTGTTTTGTTTACCTCTCTCTTTTTTCCACTTCTGTTGCTGATACCTTAAACCCTATCACTAGTTTGGACAGTTTGAGATCACCCTACTTAGAAGTCTTACAAGAATTATAGTTTTGAATATATCTGTCAAGTTAGGTGTTTATTTTGCCTGAAGTAGTAGCATGTATTATCCACTTTTTAAATTTAAATAACAGAAAATTGTTTTGTTTGTTATGGGTTAAGAATAACAGCAATATTCTGTATTTTTTTAAGAGGTATCCAAAGCTGAAAATTATACCATAAACCATAAACAATAATATCTATAAGGGAGCATTAAAACAGCAAGACGTACATTTTATGCTTTTCTTAGTGAATCCTACATATGTTTACCTTATAATCAGTAAAAATTACACAGTTATGGACTTTTCTGTAATTACTCATAAACTATTGCCTTTGTTAGATTTTCCCAGGAATTTTTAATTTCTTTTTCCTTTGTTCTTTTTTTGTTGTTGTTGTTTTCCTGTCTGTGTTTTCTTGTTTTAGCATAAATCTACACTTTCATGTCTTTATCAAAAAAACTTCAAGGGATTAAGTATCTCCAAATTCAGTAGCTTCGTTGAGTTTTTCTCTATCACTGTGCCTTGCATCTTTCTTTCAACACATTTTCTTGCTGTTCACACCTGCATCCCATAGAAGAGCCATTTCTGCATATACTGTTGCCTCATTACCAGTAGCATGGATAAAATAGAATAAACAAAATACAATAGAAGAAAAAAAAACCCAAAACATAACAAAACAACAAAAAGACACCTCCTTGGAGGAAGGTAAAAGGAAACGCTTCATCATAGTTGTGAGAGTCTGCTCCAGGACTAATACTGCCCACCAGTCTTTTCTTTAGAAAAGCACTGTTTTAATATGGGATATAGATTAATAGTATAAATGAACTCTAATGTATTTTCATGAAAAAAATTATACTAAATATAACTTAAAATAAACTAATTCTTTCTTCATCATCACAACAGAAGTGCATTTGCATCATAACTGATGCAGTCTTGCATGCAAATCCTAGGAGTAAATATTACAGTGTTACAGAATCTCTACAAATACTGTGAACTTTTGTGGTTGCCCTCTGAACACATTCACATAACAAGTCTGTAGTGACTTGAACATTTACAGTTTCCATTTCTAAACAAGAATGATCCTAGAAATTGAGTATCCTCCATTATCCACCTGCAGCAGAGTAGAAATTTTCAAAAATTTTTAACAAGATTTTCTCTGAACTATCAATTGATTTTCTTGCCATAATCTTGCTTGAGTCTGTAAGATAATTAAAATCCATTCTGTTTAACAGTTAGAATCAGTCCAGACTGATAAGTGCACAAAGTTCATCAAGCAAATTTCTACTGTCTGACATCATCATCAGTGCTTTCCATGCCGTTAGGGATGATGGGTTCTTTTATGAATACATCAGCTTAATGAGATAATGGAAAAAGAAGGTTGTGGAGAAATATTTCTTTTCAAAGTTTTCTGAACTGATGGTGGCCTTTATTGAGAAAGTGGTGGAAGCTGGGAGTCCCCAAGAGCTGACACAACCTGTGAAATGGTTTGTTCAACACTCCTTCCTCACACTGTTTTTTTCCCCTGGACAAAACACCTCCTATCACATTCTCTCTGTGCCCAGAATGTGAATGGCTGTCAGATTGCACTTCTTCTGATGCCACCTAAGAGTGTTTATGTGCAGCATTATTACTCCTTCCCACTTGCTGACC